GTTCTAATTCTTTGTTGATTCAATTAGCTCATTATTTAGAAAGATGAAAGCCCATATTCCAAGGAAATCTGTCAGTAGAGCACAGGTCCGAAGGCGAAAGATTGTTTTCAGGTGATTCGTAATCCCCTCTGTACCGGTTTGGCGGTACTGAGGCACATTTTCACCCTAATCCGAAAGGTTAATCGGGGAGGGGTCAGATGAACACTGAGTATCTGTGTTTGAACGAAATCGATTTTGACTGGACTGTTGTTGATGGTGGTGATCTATTCGGAGAGCTGGGACCATTCGTTTTTGTGAGTCTAGGTCTGATGCAAAAGGGTGTTGCCTCAGTGATGGCTAGTATGTATAAACACTGGGACTGAGAAGAAAACGATAGATAGATTCTCATCCAACTTGATGGCCTGATTAAGAATTGCGCATTGTATGTTTCATATAGCCATAGTGTTGACGGTAATGGTGCTTCTTGTGGTGAAATTTAAACACATGAACTCTGTGCTTACAGAATGTTGTTTTGTAGCATTTGTCTACCACCGCTAGATGAAGACATTTGTGATCTTGAGCTGATATCTGCTTGGTTTGTACTTGAATAGTGATCTACTGTAGCTCAACCCGGCATAAAACAGCATCACAATTAGGTGTTCCCATTTTTATGGAAAACACTGTGTTTGACTGAGCTCCAACACATCTGAGGACACAATTCAGTCCGACCAACTACTGTGATCACACATTAGCTTTTTCACACAATCCCCTCTCCCAAAAGAAATCATTCCATTCTACTGGATATTCTTAATTAGTTCTATACATATTCATAGACATGCTAGTCTGTGTGTCTGTTTGCTCATTCTGTTAATGAATAAACTTTAAAGATGTGAGAATCCCGTGTGATTGATACGGGAGAAAGAGTCTGCTTCAAGCTATTTTGCGCCCCACCGAACTTTTTATGCACACATGTCCGTTGCCTTATTTCGCCTTGTGAACGCATTCATTTCATTCTTTGTCCGCTAGCACTCGCCATGATTTCGTCTATCATAGAGTGGGGGGTTGGTTGTGTCCCGTTTCACGGAGCGGAATCACAGTGGTGGAATAGCCTCATTTCCACTGAACAAATACTTCCAGTTCCAAAATCTCCGCGTAACAAGCGGACATTTTGGTACATATTTAAGTGGGGGTCACGTCAACGGCTACGATACAATCAACCACCTTGTGCTGAGCCCCATCGATGTGATAAGAGATAACAAATGTCGCTGACAACGCTCCTCTAGAAACAACACTCATTTGCAGTGCGGTCACCTACTCATTCGCGATCTAGGTATTGCTCACAGCCTTTAATCCTTTCCTTTATGTCGTATCTCTACAACTGGATAGCCANCAAAGGGTAACCAAAAAATAATGACCGCAACTGAGACACGAGAGTGCAAGTTTGTATGAAATAAAAGAACAGCATATGCCATATTGTGCCTAAAAGATATAATGAAAACGGTTTGATAATATATCCACCCGTTGAGTTTGTAGTATGCTTCCGTTCTACCAGCAAGTTCTAGGGCTAACTACTCATTTGGGTCAAAACAGCTGTGCAGTGTTTTCCAGCCTCTCCGTTTACCCTTTATTTCCTTTATACACGACCAAATTCGCTAAGACAACTGTGTTATTAATTTTGGATATTCTGTACACGTCTGTGTCTTTGACCCACATAGCCTCGGTGGTTTCATTCTTTCTACTAGTTACGCAAGCCTCAGGGAGGGGAGGGGACCCGCAGTGATTGGACGCCTATTTACATCTGCATAAACCCGTGGAACGAACTATATTTAGATTGCACCATAGAAATCAAAATGAATTAGGTGTAACTGTACAGGAAATGCAATTTTCCTTCATACCGAAATTAGTTATAGGTGCTTACTAGAGATGCGCGTTTTTTTTGGGGGGGGGCATTTTTTGGTTCAACAGAGCACGATTTTACGGCTCTTCCGCAGCCCTCAATCTACCAAATGGGAAACAGTGAATCGAATAACCAGTGGTGGTTCTTCTTCGATAAACGGTACATTTCAAGCAAAGATTTATTTTTATCGTTGAATAGTCTCACCAGATTTATCGAAACTCAGTTGGTGTGTTGGACTTGTGGTGGGATGCCAGGTGGGTGGGTGTTTGGGTGTATGGATCGTAGGCCAGTAGTAGATGATTGGCATTCTACAAACAGACAAAGTTAGCACAACGACGACGAGGTCGATGACGACGTGGACGACAAGGACAACAATGTGGCGATGAGGTCATATGGCAGGGAAATAAATAAGTGCGTGTGTTGCTGTATCACATGGATCAACTTCAAAGCGCAAATGGTGACCCAGGCGTGAATTTGAGCTGATGCGAATTGATCAAATTGATTTCTTTGGGATCATTTCAGTTAATGAGCATATTAAATGTTACAGTTAGGGAAATAGAATGCATGAAAATGGGCCAATAAGTTACAGTGCTTCATGATCTGGAATAAATAGGTATTCATATCACCATGGA